CGTCTTGTTTATTCAATCTTTCCGGAATTTCACGTCGAATCCATTTCTGATGAATCCACAGCTCGCGCGATCGTTTTCGCCGATATCCTTTTTATCTTGTTTTTCGAATAAACGATGCGGTTCACGAAAAATGCGATCCCCGATGCTCTCCCCATCCCTCCGCCACGACGACGTTTTCATCGGGAATCTCCGGCGCTTCGCTGAAACTTTAATGTAACGGAAAGCGATTACGCGCGGTCTCGCGCGTACGCCGGGCGATGACGCATTAATCGCAATGACACTTTAATACCAGGGAGGACATGGGTATTTATGCGTCGGCTTTATCGCGGTGCAAATATTAACGGCTGCGTGAGCGTGTTCCCACCTAAACACGACAGGCTCGCTAAAGTCACATTCAGAAAAAAAAGCTCAAAAATAGCGGCAAAACAACACAGGCACTTTCCAAAGAAACCGTCGTTTCACAGGAAGAATCACCAAAAATAGCATTGAACGCATTTAATATTCTGTATACTTCACTTTTTAACGATATTGTAATTAGAATTAAGTTAATTAATTTTTAAAAAATATGCGTGAAAATACATGTGATTGAATATCAATAAAGCGATTGAATAATTTAGAATTGTACAATAAGTCACGTCGCTTAAAATTTAATAGGTCTAGATTATTCAAATGTGTACTTGTATCTGTTACATGGTGTTACGTCACGTTTGACAAAACGATAGTGTAATACAATATGGTCTTGCTTGGTTAGGAGTTCAGCTTTCTAATCTTGGAACACGTTTAGAGATTGAGTCTAACCAACAAAAGTATTTAGAATACGGATGTACTTGCATCGCAAATCTTTTTGTATCAAACAATTGTATATTTAGAGTTTCGTATATTTTTAAAAACAAAGATACACTTTAAATACTTTAAAGATTAGATATTAATATATTTATATTAACATATTTATATTGATATTTATAGAATATAAAGACAATGGTACTTAAATGAGAAGTTCTCCAAGAATCAAGAAATAAAACATTTCTAAAGTCTCTCAGAAATAAAACATTTATATAAAGTCTTACGTTTGATGATCAAGAAATGACTCGAGATAAGAACAGGTAATGTAACGTTTGAATCATCTCGTTGGCACGCAGAAAATTCTGCAACTGTCAGTAAGCTTGAAAAGTCACGATCAAATTCATTCATTAGTTATCTTCTATTTTCAAACATGAGACGTTAGTTTCCAGTTCCTTTTCGCAGATATGAAATTTGCTGTCAACCATTACTTTAGATGTTCGGTGAAAATAAAATTTTACGATGAAAACTTCCGATTTCAAGCGTCACGAACTTTACACAATAGCCTGAAATTACTTATGTTTTATTGCACGTCAATCGATGCGGAATATAATAGATAAATTGTTATATTTTTAGAAATTTTATTTTTCAGTCTTTTATTCGACTAGATTGACGATTTCGTCCATGCGAGCGCTCGAGAATTTCGCGTAAATTCTTTGTTCTCGTCGGACGCGTCGAACGCAAAGCTCGGTCCATCACTGAAATAGATTTTCGATCGAGTTTATATTGAAAAGAGCGTTGATTATTATAGCGACGGGAGAATAAATTTATCGGGCGATCAAAATAATATAATAAATATCATTAAAGAAAATAATGATTATATGCATTTCATTATTTTAATCTATTATTACGTTACTTTTGATCATTATCAATAAGCGATAACCATGTATTTTATTATGCTAAAGATTAAATAACTTTTACACTTTTAAGCTTATCAAAGTTATCGAACTTTCGTGCTTTCCAATAACGAACTTTCTTCAACTTATAAGGAACTTATCTTCAAACAGCCTGATTTCAAGGAACATACAGTTCCTGCCATCATTATTAAGAACAGATCATTCGCTTGGACAAAAACAAATTTTTTAAGACAATGACTAATTAGTCTGAGGCGGAAATCCGTAATTAAAGTGATCTAATTCTAACTGTCATAAATCACACGCGTGAAATGTATTCGACTGCTGATTTAGTATCAAAGCGCTCTCTCTTCTCTTCGTTCCCCCTCCTCCTCTCTCTCTCTTCTGTTATCAACCAGAAAATAGTGGCGAACGAAAATGAAAATGCAGGATATCACGCAGGCTATAAATGGCAGGCCGATTTGATTTCCGAAGCCAACGCGCACGGGACAGAATTTTAATTACTCGCTTGTCCTACAGAAAATTGATGTACCTCTATTCCGTCTCTCTCGCCCTTCCCTCTCTTTCCGGTGCGATCCGCATACACACACACACACACACACACACACACACACACACACACACACACACACACACACACACACACACACACACACACACACACACACACACACACACACTACTTACGTTT